ATTTTACTGTACTGTACTGATTGTTTGAATAAAGGTGGTGGTTACGCCACAAAAGAGAAAAAAAAAAACATATTAATCTCTGAATAGGTCAATGCATGACAAATAAGGAAGCTGTACAATCCAGTTTTACTATTTATTACCAATACACCTAACCCACCTAACATTATTAGCTCATAATTATTCATCTAAATTTCATTATATCCCAAATAAGGTACTCAAACTAAATAAATAATAATTTTAATATCCATCCATCGTCGACATTCAATTTCGATCTTTTATTCTTCACATGAGACAATACCGATAATTTCCCGCCGATAAATAAACACGAACAGTAGTGGGTAAAGGCAACTTTATTTCTTGCTTCGAACAAGGTATTTATTCGTAGAAGTCATGAAGATTAGCCTATCTGAGAGTGACTCGTAAAAAATATATTAAAAATTTAATTTTTAAACTTACACGTTAACATTAAGTATTCTGTTGTGAATTATAAATAAAATAGCATAAAATATGGAAGGATATAGGAAGAAGGAAGAATAGGAAACAAACTTGGAGTGGGTGAAACATATACCGAAAATATACCATAATAATCAGTGTGTTGGTATTGCATTATGTTTATGTTTTCATAAATTGACATCAAATCGGGCCTACGTGATTTTCAAGACTTCTCTATGAAGAGAGTAACATAAAAATAGTTACATCAAATGAATACACAACAGTATTAATGATTGCCAATTAAAGCGAGTTTAAATGTGTGTATTTCATTGAAAAGTGTATTAAGTGTCCAATGTGTATACAGCTAGTGTATGTTTAAAAATAGCTTAAGTGTAGTAAACACACGTTTGTGTTCTTAATTATGCATCAACTAATCTGATGTATGAATATATTAAATATGGTGATGCTTTAAAAATAGTAGAATTAATAGGATGTATTTACTTTAATAAAGTTAAATAATCAAGACTATGTATACATCGTGGAGGTAGGTAGAAAAAGAAAATAGGGGCCTATATTTTAGTTAGAATGTAAAGTTTTTGAATTGGAGAATACCTTGTAGGTCATTGTCAGTATCTCAAGTGACTGTAATAACAAACTGCAGGGAAAATTTCCTGCCAATAAATAAATAGTTTTATACACGCACATTATACATTAAAAATTTGTTAGGCTAAACTTGATTGATAATTCAATGGACACTTCAGGCAAATATATATATTTATACTTCCTTTATAGGTAGTACTCTCTTTTAAATGTTAATACTTATTTGAAATAAATATTTAACATAGATAATTACAGGGAATTTTAATGAATTATCAATCTCTTGTACACACACTATATCCAAATTCAAAGGAATTAGTTTTACACACGCATTATACTAAACTTGATTGAAATTCAATAACACTTCAGGCCAATATATATTTATACTTCCTTATCCTAAAAGGAAGTATCTCTTTTAAATATTAATACTTATTTTAAATAAACATTGAACATAGATAATTACAGGGAATTTTAAAGAATTATCTATCTCTTATACACACATACTATATCCAAATTCAAAGTAATTAGTTTTACACACGCATTATACTTTGATAATTCAATGACACGTCAGGTCAATATATATTTATACTTCCTTATACTAAAAGGAAGTGCAGTCTTTTAAAACTCTTCCTAAAAACTGCAATGTTAATATATTACATTATATATGATCAATTCGTATTATCGTTTTATTATTATTTTTTTATATTTTGTAATATATTATTAAAATGTATGCAACCTGTGTGTACGTTCGTTTGAGTATAGAGGCTATAAACCCAAGGGAGGAATTACCTCCTTTTCAACCAAGATAATCGAGTGATGAAGTGATCGAAGATAAAATGAGTAGCTTGAAACAGGTATTAGGCGGATAGCATGAAAGGGACAGTACTAAAAGAGACACCATACTTCAGAATCCATACACTGTGCAAAACAAGTCTTGGCTCTGCGTGTATGTGAGACGAGTTATACTCACACCATGGAGCTAGGTCCATGCTCAAACACAGGTTTTCATCGCAACCCGTATACGGTAGTACAACTTGAAAATAAAACAGACATGGAATTAACAATAAAATTTTGTTACAGCATAATTTTATGTACTGTATTATCCAACATATCCAACGATAGTTTTTGAATAAATAGAAAAAGTGTTTTTAATGTTTCGGGGGATATTATTCTAAATTTTGTGTCCTATGTATCTTATGGATTGTTGGGCTTTGGAAGAATCTTTTTTTTTTTTTGACGATCTAAAAATCGATCTTGATCTTGTGTTGTAGCTATGAACCGACCGATTTAGTTAGAAATAATTTTTGAATGTATTCAGGTCAAACCCCTTTAAAAATTTAAACATAAGTATTGCCGCAGACATTTCATGAAGTTGAAAAACCTTAAGTGTCATGTATAGAATTATATGTATATAAATGCACTGGGGAATTTGGGTATGATGCGTCTCACATACATGTAGAGCCAAAACATGTCTCTTGTGTATGGGCCTAACATTACAGTGTCTCATTAAATATTGTCGCTTCATGCTGTCACTCTAATTTCTGTTTCAAGCTGCTCATTCTTCTATGCATTTCATAACACTCGTATAACACTCGTCTTGTTGAAAAGGGAGATATTATCCTCCCCTGGGTTTAAAGCCTCTCTACCAAGAGAGCAGCTTAGCTCAGTCGGCTAATCTGGTGGTAGCCACTGTGTGTGCACTGAACCGTGGAGATCTCTTGGTCCCCGGTTCAATTTCCATCGCTGCCTCTCCTTGTGTTTCAGATTAAGGGCTGAAATACAAGTTATAATAGCGCACCGTCTTTCGGATGAGACGTTCAAGCCGTTGGTCCCGGGTGCATTTATGGCCCATGTGGACGTTAAAGAACGCAGTACACTCTTCGGAAAAGAGTAGGATTGTCTCCCGGTGTACTGTCTAATCACCACCAGAAGGACCCCACTGGAAATAAGTCTTCTAGAATTTCGTGGGCTATCCTTTGTGTTTACACCGAATAAATCCAATCCAATCCAATCCAATACCTAAACAATACAAACATGTGTAAATATGAAAATCAGAATAATGCATTTTCCCCTCTTCTTTGTTTTTAATAACAACTATCATAAGGCGAGACTTTTTTTATACCTTGATTGGCGAACCCGCCGACTGCAAATGTTGATGATTTCGATTTAAAATAAATTTTTCTTTTGGCCAATTAGCGCACCCGCCGCCACGAAAAAGTGGAAACTTTAGAACAAAATAAAATGTTTTCTTTATTTTTATTACGCCCTCTGCAGCCTTGAAATCCCCAAAGGTAAGATGTGTATATTTCTTCATAATTATATAAATTTGAAGCATTTAACCATCCTATTTTACATTCACCAATAAAATTTTGTTCTTAGTTTCTCCTCCATCTGGATCTGGATGATTTTGGCAAAATAATTTTCCTCCCTCCTCCGATAATCTTTAAAAAAAATAATAAGTACGCAAAACAAGGAATAAAAAAAAATCTCGCCTAAAAAAAAAATGGAATGAATATTGTGTCAAAAAATAGTAGACATTTAGTTCATAGCAAAAATAATTAATAAATAACTTGATCCAGGACAACTGTATTTTTTGGAAAGATCTCAAAATACATTTTCCATTTGAAACGGGTATTAATCAAGCTCACTCCCGTAAAGTTAATATACTTCCCTCACAGCTGACATCTTGGCCTCTGGCTACAAGGTTGAACTGATTGCTCTGGAGGTGGGATCCAGAGGGTATGTCTCCCCAGATAATTTAAATAAACTGTAAAAAATCTTAACAATTTGCAATAAACCAATCTCACTTAAGACTTTAAGGGATAATGTTTTGAAAATTGCTATAGTTTCTTCCTTCAGCATCTATTACGCAAAAGAACAACCAATTCTTGGGTAAATCCTCCATATTTCCAAATTAATGAGTCCCGTGCAATATACAGTAATTTATTTAGATTTTTGATAAATTTGAATGAATTTTTTTAATCTGAAGGCAATGACCTTAACTATATTGAATTTTGAGTATTTTTTTATTTAATTTGTCTCTCTTCTGTTTTCTTGTCACCTGCTTTTGTAACTGTTTTTGTCTATTTACCTAGTGTTCCTTTATAAGGTCACGACCTAGGTTTTGTATGTTTTCCTTTGTTTTGTTTCGAAATAAAGTGATTTTATATATTTTGAGTATAAAATCTTATCTTTTGTTTGAATTTCTCAGCAGCAGTTATTGAACATTTGAGGCTTGCCATCGTAAAACCAGCATCACTAAATGAGTAATTAACATAAGAATGCGGCAGTATTGTATTCTTTAGACACAATATCCATAATACTCTTATTTGTAACATTGGTAATACAGTAGTAAGTCTATTCCAGTAAACGACCCATCATTTTGAAGCTTACAATGTGGAGAATAAGAATATATTAAAGCCAGTTTTCTATTTTG